GCCTGTCTGCTGTCTGGGGCTACTTATCATCTTTGGGAATTTCTTGGCCTCCTCATCACCACTTGGCTTTGCTGTGTCCAGACGTGCCCCCAGACAATGGATGACCATGTGGTCTAGGCTGACAGACAGGACAGACCACTCAAGCTAAGAAGCCAGTGACAACCGAATGAGCATAGTCTCCCTGGGTGAGCCTCCAGCTGTGACTGGCACTATCACCTGCCTACCCAGATTCAGTTCTGCCTGTTGGCACCCCTACTTCAGCAGCCTCACCCTCGTGGGCTCACCCTCCAACCACACAGTCATCCCACTGCCTCAAAAGCAGTCATTCGCCTACCTTTTGCCTTTCAGAAGACAAACTACAAACACCCAATACAACCCAATACCGTTTATTAAGCTCTGGTTTGGTGCTAACTAGTGAGCAAATATCTCGTCACTTCTTCCCCAAACCTTCATTTGATGTGTCAGTGGCCTTCCTGCTGGTGGTCCCCTGGCCCCGTCACACTTTACCTTCTGTTCTTAGATGACTCTTATCGGGTGGTCAGATTCCCTCTCTTATCTGGGGAAGGCAAGGGACAAGGACACCATGACCCCTCCCCACTGCTACTGCCTCTCATCTTCTCCTTTACTTTGCTTTCCGGGTATGCTCATCCCTCATGTTCTGGACCAAAGCCACTCATTTCCAGGACACTTCCCGCATCATTTCTATGCCCCGGAGTTGGGGCTCCGCTGATGGGACTCAGTGCACAGAGCCCTCACCCCAGAGCTGGCAACTCCTCCTCTTCCACTTCCTGGCCATCGGGAGTTCCTGCCTCTCAAGGTCCAGTCAGTTCCAAGGTATAGGGGGCCAGTTGCTAGTCTTCTCTGTGGACTGTCCCCTCTTCAATGTGAATTTTTTCAACAGAACCATGCTGGATAGAAGAAGCTATTACTGCCAGGTGCTGTCCCTGGAGCACTGAGGCTTCCTTTGTGTCCCTTGCTTGATGGAGGTCACATTCTTAGGATCAGTGTACACTACTCTGTGCTGTGCTGGGACTGTGCCCAAAGAGACCACATCGAGGCATGATTATAACAATGCCGCCTCCATTCTTAAAAAGTCTTGTTCGGAATGATAAATCAAGTATTCAACCTCACTCAAACCCACCTGCCCATCATCGCTCCCAGAAACCTGAGGATCACACCCACTCTACCCTTCTCCTGATATCCCCACAGACACAGCACCCCTGAATGCCACCACCCTAACATCTCTTACTACGTTTGCCATGGATTATTACTTCAGTTTCCCCTCCCCCATCCTATCTGCTGCCACAGTGACCTTGCCCTTCCAAAGTTGTTCACAATCCTCAGCCTAAACATGAGATAGTGGCTTCAAGACAACATCCTGGCTCCACATCAGGGCCTTGCTGCATCCCACACCTCACTTTCCCACCTGGCATTGCAGCTGTTCTCTGTCCCTCACTAGTCGTGGCCCACAGGTACCTATGTCCCTCCGCTTTGGGGCTACCTGCCTGCCTCCTCCAGTTGTCCCAGAAGTGATGGCATCTTCTGGCTTTAAATCAATAGCACTTGCATGGTGCTGAGCACACAGCTAGTGACTCACTTCAAGTTGCTAACACAGCTAGCCTGTGGGGTCACAGACCCTTGAGAAAATGCCTAGGGGCCACAGCCCACCCCACCCCCGTATATATGTGCACTTTCCCTCTGCTTGGAAGTCCTGCTTCCAGGTCCTGTGAGTCTGTCCCTTCCACCAGGAGCCACTCTGCCCAGAATTATCCAGGGTCTCTGAAGCCCTGTGTCATTCCACAGTGAATTCTTCTGTGATGGTAGCAGGCCCTGCACCCCTGCTCTGTGTGGAAAGAGAAGGCTGAGGTTGGCCTGTTTGATCTGAGCCCTCCTGAAGGCACTCTGTGGCTGCCTGCGCCTTATGCCTGTCTCCAGATTGCTAGCCCATGAGGAATTTGCCTTCACAATGTAGGCAAGGAGGCGGTCCTTAGGGAACAGCAACACAAACATGCTGCTGCAGACAAGGGTGGTGGTGGTGGGGCGGGGGATTGTGCATGCTTAGCTCTGGAGAACATTCAGGGTCACTGGCTTTCAGGATCCTGATTGGAAACCCAAGGGACAGCAAGCAGGGCAGAGCACTGTAGCTTTTGTTCTATCCCTCTAATGCAAGCACATATTCCCCACTTAAGGGCAATTTGTTCCTTTCGAAAGGATTCCAGCTGGTTAGATTTAAGGTGAAGAATAAGCCTTAGTCAAGATGCTTCTCGGGGCTTTTCAGTTTTCCTTGGCTGGAGAACAGGAAGAATTTTAGAATGTTGGCCACTTAGTGCTTGTCAGAAGGAGCCCCAGGGAGGGAACGTGGGGAGGGTATTCCGGGAGGGGAAGCATCCAGTAACCAGCTCCCTCCTGGATCACAGGGAGGCATCCTGCTTCCTGAATTCCTTTGCCCTTTGAGTACCCCTGACCTTCTCCATTTCCCTTCCCATCCTTAGCGAGCTCCACCTGGGCAGAGAATACTTTCCTGAGCCCCTGGTCTCAACAGTGCCCAGGACTCCAAACAACTTAACAGGCAAGCAGTGGGGCTTACCAGCCACTGCTTATACACCAGGGAATGTTTTTGTACCTGCCATCCATTCATTCACTCATCGGTCCACCCATTCACTCATTTTTCCATTCGCCTGCATATCCATCCACCCACATGTTCATCCATCCATCTACCCACTCTTCTATCTGTCCATCTGTACCTCCATCCACACACTGACGGGTCCACCCGTCTGTTTACGCACACACTAACTTATCCATCCATCCATTCACCTGTCCGACGCTCATTGATCCATCCACCCGTCCACTTCTTCATTCACTCCCTCTTAACCAGTCAGCCGGCACAGGATCTGCCATGCTGGCAGGGGCTGTAGGTGAATCAATGTTTACAAGGTGATTGCTGTGGTATGAGATAAGGTTGAGTAGCAGAAGGAGTGAAAATACTCTGGTTAGAAGGCATGGGGATAGTTAAAGAGCTTGGAGCAAGACATCATCAGCAAGGATGGAAGCAAGGTACAGAGCCAGCAGTCAGGGAAGGCTTCTTGGAGGAGGAAGCAAAGCCCAAAGATGGGAGAAGCCTGTGCAAAGGTGTGGCGGAACAGGGATCTCCATGGGAGCACAGAGGCCTATCCCATGCCTGAGACATTCTGGCCCAGGCCTCAGAGCTTGCTTGCCA